GCGGGGTGAAAATAGTTGAAATCGGGTGGCAACTCCGCCCACTCCCCATATAACGGTACTGTTAAAAACTACTAAAAGCGCGATAAATCAAGCACTAAACACGCCAGAGACATTAAATTTTATCTCTGAGATGGTATAAATTGGCTTTATAGGAACCGCGTTCAAAATTAGTCAGCGGGCGTGGCACAGCCCACTTTTAGGTGAAAACCCATATCTTGAGATCTGCTCAACCGATTTCAACCAAATTCGGTGCGTAACGTTCTCTTCATGTTTCTATGTCATAGTGCGAAAATGGGCGAAATCAGACTACAACCACGCTTACTTCCCATGTAACACCATTTTCAATTCCATCTGATTCTTTCACTTTCCACTATGCAAATCGGTTAACAATGATTATATCGGGGTAAAACTTTGCGTGAATAATGGAATTAAAGTATGCCACCTTGCGGCCAAAAATTGTCTAAGTACTAAATATGTGGACCCCAGTGCCTATAGTTGACCTTCTATCGAAAATATCAGTCAATCCACAAAGAAATCTCAAACGAGTATACCATTTGACTTTGCGAGAGTATAAAATGTTCGGTTACATCCGAACTTAGCCCTTCCTAACTTGTTTATATATAAAATTGCTTCAAAATATGTTCTCGAGTTTAGCTGAGCAATGTCAAAATTAATATATTTCTCTATCCCCAATATATATACGATTTCCGTCTTTCCACCTGACTTTACACCGTTGCGGTTGATCAACGTGATATTTTAACGAAATTAAGTAGAAAAGATTTTTTAAAAAATTATGTGGTTTGACGTTGAATTAGAATTAAATAAGTATATACTAAGTCCAAACCTCACACGTTCATATAATGAATTCCGATTCTCTGGTTGACGTTTGCCACCTAAGCTTATAATATAAAATTTAGCCACTTTGGTGGAGTTAATATCACATTCATACTTATGTATATCTCACTTCAAGCAATAAAACTGGGACTAAGTTTATGGCCTTTAATATAAGTCAAGAAGATACCAAATTTGATTGCAATTTAATTAACGATATCATTTAATAATGGATGTTTAATTCAACATTTTTTAATATACGGTTTGGAGGAATTTTCTGGTCTTTGATTTTCCCAGCTCACATGTACTACTTATGGTATACTTTTTTTCGTCAATTTGATAATTTCATGAAATTAAATGGACAGTTTTTCTTAAAAATAATGTATATCGCTGCATATGAATGAAATTGGTCTAGACTTTGTTTAAACCTTACAACCCTAATAAACTGATTTCCGCTCCTCTGGTACAACAGCAACCTCATATACCCCACATATTAAATCTAACCCCTTTGGTTCAGTTTATATTATATCACATATACCATGTTTGAGTTAAATAGCTTCTTTTATAAAGATTAACATTTCGGAGAAAAAATAGTATTGACATAAAATAAATCATGATCAATAAAATCGAGTAATGAATGTTGAATTCTTCGCAACATTTTTTACTTTCGCAACATGTTGCAACAGAGTATAGTTTTGTTCACCAAAGAGTTTGTTGCATAACCTAAAGTGATAGATATAGATTTCTATATACATATATTTCTTCTAATATTTGGTGATAATCAGTGGTTAGGTATATTTCTCAGCCATCATGTTGAACTTATTATAAAATATACCAGACAACAATGCTAAAAATTCTTAGAGTGCTGACTTGGTATTGAACAAAAAATCTTTCTAGAAAAATTGCATGAAATAAATATTAGTAATGTAGTATCAAAGGCTAAAGACCCTTTATGTGGTTATAGATAAACTGCGACCATTCCGTTTACATGCTACTGTCTATTATTTCAGTTTTGCGACACATTTTAAATATGAAGGGTATGAGTGAACTGTAAACTCAGAAAATTACATTTTACCTTAGCGCCGTTGGCAGCTTATGAAAGGTTTAGATATTAAGACAGAAAGAAGAAATCTACATACCTGCTCTACATAGTGGTATACACATACTTAATTATATGTAAGTTATTGTTAATTTAGCTTCATGTCTAACAGGGGAATTTCTAGGCTCTTAAATGAAGCTATATCAGAGGTAAATGCTGGAAATTATACTATTAAGCAAAAACTTAAACATATAGGTCACAAATTTATACCAGCAAGTAATGCAGAAATATTTATAAATACCTCTCGACCTGAGGAACGTGTTCGAATGGTAAAACCTAGAGCGGAACTTCAGAACCTTCCTTCAGGTTCGACTGAAATATTCGTAGCCGGTATTTTAGACCGTTATGTTCAAAGATCCCATCAGTTAGAAACTCTTTGTTTAGCTGATTTTGCATCTAGGTATAAATATTTTAAATCTAGTAGAAGAGCACAAGATAGAGATCATGATGAAGAAGAGAGGGAAGACGATAATTTACTAGAAAGCTCGGTTGCTATGCCTCTTAAAGACGGTAGCGGTTTTGTGAAAAAACGTACCAAACCTTGTATTATTCAGTATAGAAGGTTTAACCCAGATTTGGCCAGAGTTGAGTATTTCCGCGAAATGTTAATGCTTTATTATCCTTGGCGAAATGAACAGCAAGATCTCATTGAAAACGATAATGAGCAGACTTGCATAACACATCGTATTATAATAGAGGAAAATCAAAGAAAATATGATGTTTTTGAGGAAAGAGAACTTGAAAATGTTCTAGAAAGTTTTTATAATGAAATAGACTTAGACGAAGGTGCTCAAAATGAACTACCTATAGTGGAAAATGAGTTCAGAGTGTTGGCACTTCCAGAAATAAACCCAAATATAAATTTGCTGGACTTGCATGGCGAAGGTTCAACAGATAATGGCACTGAATCTGATTGCAATATTAGACTTATTAAACTACCCCCTTTAATTCCAGTTGAGGAATTATTTTCTTTAGTTCAAAGTCTAAATATGATTGTATGAAGTTTTTAATATAAGATTGTTGCATACTTGTCATATATATCATCAACTAACCACTTTGTAATTTACTCATTTGTTACAAACTTGAATATAAGTGAAATATAAATACAAATATGCTTTATAGGGTCTCCGACGTTTCTTTCTGAGTGTAACAAACTACGTGGCAAACTTTATACCCAGCTCAGCATATATAAAGCGAAACATTCCAATCTTTTAAATTTCTTGTAATTTTTTTTATAATCAAGAGTTCTGGACCCAAACCGAATAAAGTCGAATCAAGTTATATGCATTTCTGCTGTGAGCTCGGTGATAGCAGGGTCAATTTGTTTCCCTCGATATTCGAAACCTCTGGAGCATATTACATAAAAAGAGAGGGGAATACGATTGCGTTTACAAAAAGAAAAATCGATTAATCAATGTAATAGAAATTAATTTTTTTTGCATTCATTGATAATTTAAAATTTATTTGCTTCAAAATAGTTCTCAGTATAGGGGATTACCAGGATTCGAAGACCAATTCATTGAACCGTTTTAATAAATTTTTGCCGCGATATAATGTCTTTAATAAACAGCACTTTATTCTTCAACTAGGCGTGGTAGACAAGAAGTAAGAAAGAGAATTCAGCTATTAATATAACAGAGAGGCGGCCAAATACTGTGGATTTACAAAGTAGCTAGAAAAGTCACGAATAAAAATAAAGTAAACAGGTCCCTCTCAAGTGAGAGACGTTTTGCATATGCAATTTCATACCTGTTATGGCAAGAAGACATTCTCTTGGCCCAGAACACGTAAAAAGAATTAAATAAAAATTAAAATTAAATGAGAAAGATAAAAATTCTAGTGTCGTAGAAGGTTTTGATTCAATTGAAAATCAAGCTATACCGCATTAAAAGATAGTATGAAGCAATTTCTGGTCAACAATAAATATCCGAATATTCCGATATTTCCACCGAGATATTAAGGCGATAGCTAATTATAACTTTTCGTGTAATTCTATTTTATCAAGGGGTTTATGAGATATGGAACGAAAGTACCATTGCAATGTTTCCATTTATTTGATCATTGGGAACTGCATAACCGCTCCAAGTTTTTATCAAGATTTATTACTTGATGCTCGACAGTTCTCAGAGACTCAGACTAGAAATAATCTTCGCTTATGGCTTAATTAATCTAAGCAGAATCTAAATTAATAATAATTCAATGCTATGTATGTCCATAATATAACAATTTTACTTACCATTAGAAGACGTCGAATCCAGCGACGCCGATAACATAAACAGAACAATATAATATCTTTGTAGTCGACTTCGTATACTAACTTTAAAATATAGACATTTGATTATACTTGATATTAATCTTGTGATCATTTTACGGCGCTGTTTAGTTTTGTATCACAATCGATGATTTAAGTTCTTCTGATATTTTCCTTCACACAATTTCGATTTTGAAAAATGTGTACTCAGTTATGAAATAAATACGGGTTTTCAACAATATTTAAACTAGAAATAAACTTTGTTATTTCGTATTATGCAACGCGGAATGTTCTTTTTAAAGTACAATCTTTCAGAAATATTCTCTGAAAGTTAGAAGTAAATTCGACAAACACTTTTCGTGTTATTCGCTAATTAGCAAGGGATTCTCGAGCACTCTGGAACGTTCGAGGGAAAGTAGCTGATGAATCTCCCAGAATTACTGATCACAACAGAACTGGTCACCGCAAGGAACTTCGGATAGAATTGGATCAACACCACAACATTTACTTTTAGTATTATAATTTTATTTTCTAATTTCTGTCACACCAAGTCGAAACCTTATTTAATAATCCTATGCTTTTACTGTTATAAAATAAAAGAATTTTCGGGCAAAAAATTATTTAAAATTGTTGCTCCCTTTTTTCAGTTCTTCTCGAAGATGGTTGAGGTTTTTTTCCGCTAAGTAAATTTGCATTGCAAATCGTCCTAATGTTTTCGGTTTAATGAAGGAATTTATTTTTCGGAAAAATTAAAGCAAAAGAGTCTAGGACTATGATTCCATTTCCTTTTTTTGCTTTTTAATCATTTAAAATATACACGCACTTCTTCCTATTCAGAATCCTTATATTATTTCCTAAAGTGACTAGAAGTCATTATACGACATATTATAAGATGGTACAACTTTTGTTGTGATTTACGTGAGTACCTGACGGTGACGGTCTAACCTCACGGTGCTGAAAAGCACAGCCTATCAATACAATGCATTGATCAGCGCCCCAAATAATACGAGCTATTTGCAAGTATTTATTTGATTACCAGCAGCCAGTGTGTATGGGCACACTGACCATCTTGGTAGGATTAAAGGCCGACCTAAAACCTCTTCCGTTTTCGGGTACGGAACCCAGTTGCTTGTGCAACTTCTTTTTTTGAACTGAATTTTCAGTTCTCCCAGCATTTAGGTTTAAACCACAGCAACTACGAATCTCCACAAAGGGCCAAACCCAATGAGCAGATTGGACCGAAGTCCAAGGGCGTTTTCCTCCCCGTGGTACCAGAGTTGAGTCTCCGGTAAGTCTGTGTAGCCGAAGCTACTGCCAGTTGAGCTACCCATCAACTCAATGACTGGTGACATTTGTCGCTTGAACTTAAATGTCTTTTTATTTGGAATCATTTAAAGACTATAATATCAGTTCAAGCTGAGTATTATAGCACTATTTCCGACATAACTATGTTGATATTTCTTGGCCAGGTTTAATAACAGTAATAGTGCATTAGGATTTAAGTCGCCTCTTACGACAGGCATAACTTACCGCGGGCAAATTCTTACCCCTGCCCGCAGGGGGAATAAGATGGTACAGTAAGAACACTAATGATGAAATCTATTTTTTTGAGAGTAATTATTTTAAGTATAAACAAGTAAGGAAGGGCTAAGTTCGGATGTAACACAACATTTTGTACTCTCGCAAAGTCAAATGGTATACTCGTTTTGGATTTCTTTGTGGATCTTACCGCCTCGTTCTATGTTAACCGATATTTTCGGTAAAAAGTCAACTATAGGCACTGGGGTCCACATATTCAGTACTTAGGGGCTTGAACGGTTTTGGTTCAATTTAGATAATTTCTGGTCACAAAGTGGCATACTTTAAACGTATTATTCACTCAAATTTGTACGCCGATATAATCATTGTTGCTTGATTTGCATACTGGAAAGGGAAAAAATCAAATGGAATTTAAAATGATGTTATATGGCAAATAGGCGTGGTTGTAATCCGATTTCGCAAATTTTCGTACTATAGCAGAAATATAAGAAGAATGTTATGTACCGAATTTATTTGAAATTGGTTAAGCAGATCCCAAGATATGGGTTTTCACCTAAAAGTGGGCGATGCCATGCCCACTATCTAATTCTGAACGTGGTTCCTATAAAATCATCTTATACCATCGCAGGTATAAAATTTAATGTCTCTGGCTTGTTTAGTGCTTGATTTATCGCGCCTTAAGTAGTTTTTAACAGTACCGTTATATGGGGAGTGGGCGGGGTTGCCACTCGATTTCACCCATATTCACACCGTCGATAGAAATGCTAAAAACATTTGTTCCCAGTGAATTTTGTTATTGTAGCTTTAGTGGTATAGGAGATATGCACATTAAACTTATTAGGGGGCTGGACCACGCCCATTTTAAAAAACAAATTTAAACTGCAGATGCCCCTCCCTAATGTGATCCTGTATACCAAATAAGAGTCTTGTAGCTTGTTGTGGAGCTTAGTTATGGCAATATATTTGTTTTTGATTAATGGCGCTTTGTGAGCGTGGCAGTGGTCCGATTACGTCCATCTGCAATACCAACCGTCTTACGGTACCAAGAATCATGTGTACCAAGTTTCATATCTCAATTTTTACTCAAGTTACAGCTTGCACAGACGGACGGACAGACGGACAGACAGTCACCCGGATTTCAACTCGTCTCTTCATCCTGATCATTTCTATATATATAACTCTATATCTAACTTGATTAGTTTTAGGTGATACAAGCAACCATTAGGTGAACAAAACTATTATACTCTGTAGCAACAAGTTGCGAGAGTATAAAAAGGGTAACTCTCAATTTAAAGTTAAACGCCTTGGCTTACCAATACTTCAGTATCTTAAATGCATAAACAGAACGGAGGAAACATGTACATGTTTTAGCCTTCAACTGCCAAAGGCGGGGCAATTTGTTGAGATGTTTCTATCTCATTTTCTTCCTCAGCTGCTTAAAAGCAGCTGGCATCCGGTAAAATGTTATTTTTTTTTGTAGAGGAATCCAAACAGAGTAAGATCGCCAAAATAACAGCCCTTCGCCGGATAAAATTCAGGTCAATTCCGGTAACGTAGAACCGGCTGTAGTGGGAATTGTCCGGTAAAATGTTCAAACCTTCCGCTTGAATCCTGACTGGACAGGGTTCAGGTAGGTTTGAAGTTTAGCAATTGGAACTTCAGTGATGGTCAGATTGAAATCGTATCAAAAAATATATGAACGGAGATATTTCATACCGCCATCTTTGATCACTCATAAAAAATTTAAAGTAATGAAAAAAATAATGAGTTCCGAATATGTGGACCCCAGTTCCTATTGCGAACATTTTATCGAAAACATCGGTCAATCTGTAAGATATATTTTAGGAACCCAAAAATGGGTTGAATCGGATCAATAATTACTATAGTCCGCATATACCTAATAGAACATCTGGTTGACTTTATACCGCAAATATCGGTCAATATATGAGTTATTTTAATGAAATTGAAAGAGCGTGATTTTCTAATAACAATGTATCTTTGTGAATAAAATGGATAACATCAGGTGCAAACTTGCTAGCCGCCATATAACTAATATCAGGTTTTTAAAACATCCGGTTGACTTTATACCGCATATGTTTATTGGTGATGGTATGTGAGGTACCTTAATGAAACTCAGAGATAATCTCTTAATGTAATTAATATGTAGTAATGGCAAAAATAGATAAAAGAGGTTCAATACTACCGCTTTCTTTCATATACCTACAATAATATAAGATTTTTTATAATATTGGACTGAAAATATCTGAAATTATATTATAATACATATAATGAATTTTTTTATTCTAACAAAACTTATGTCGAATATGTGGGTCAAGTTGTAAGTTATCTTTATATAAATATTTCTTTTGTGCGTGTGTATGTCACTGACTCCTCCCAGACGGCTTTACCGATTTTGATGAAATTTTTTGTGTGAGCTCAAGGGGATTCGACTTCACTGGAAAATGTTTATTTACTAATTTTTCATTTATAAGTAGTTGTTAAGTTTGGAAAGTTTGCATTGGATCCGGTAAACTGCGCTACCATCGCAGATGTTAGAACGTTTTACATAGAATTCCGGCAGACAGCGCAGCAGTCGTGACAGATATTCAAAAGTATATTTGTGCCTGGTAGATGGCGCTGAGATCAGATTCTAAGATAGCATAAGTATAGTTTAAACTATTAAGACTATAAACATGTGTATCGTGTATAGAGTTTAAACATTCATACAGCTATGCTACTCTATACGGAAATGGTGAATATACAAATCTAAGAAATATGTAAATAAATAATAAATTTGTTTATATTTCTTACTCTTTCGCATTTTTTGTAGAAATAAAATACTATGAAAAATACACATAGACCAATGAGGATTAGTCATAAAAAATGTCATGGGCAACATTTTTTAAGCCACTATTTTGAGTGGAAAATTTCAAGGTGAAGTTGCACTTTTACCACGAATTCCAATGATTCCTTCAGATTCGCCGTTACCATTTAAACATTTACAATTACCCATCTGCTTGGCATTTGCGATAACTATTAAAAAGGCATAAGGTCAAACAATGACGATTTGTGGATTGGATTTAGAAAATCTGTGCTTTTCACATGGCCAATTATACGTTGCGTGCTCGAGAGTAGGAAAACCATCGAATTTATATGTTTATACCTCTCAAGGATTAAACAAAAATATTGTACATCCTATGGCATTACGATAACTTCAGTTTTTGTAGATAATTATCTCTAAGAATAAATACCCGTTATAGAATAGATTCAGCCTTTTTACAATCAATTAAAAGGACTTCAAGTTTTCATTCAATACTGCTTCTACAATTAACATCTCTGAAAGCATTCTAATATACATATTGACACCCTATCGATTGGTCGGATTGTGATAAATATATTATATATGAATGACGTTAGATATTGTAATAAATTTCTAATAACAACAAAACGGTGTAATTATTACAGCTAATTTCAAAAAGTTTACATTTAAGACGTGGAACAGGACAACGTTTGTCGGTCTTCTAGTATATTTATAAAATTGCTTGAAAATATGTTCTCGAGTATACCTAAGCAATGCAAAGGTTAATGCAACAAGCCCAGACCTAATATACTCTGGCCCCTATTAAGGTTTTCAACCCAACTGAATTTTGGTTGAAGTTTTGAAACTTGGTATTATGGCTTTCAACTCAACCCGTCAAAAAATGTTTGGTTGAAGTGTTGTCAAATTTCTGTGACAGTGGGGTTGACTAGAGTATCAAAAAATGTCAACTGGGTTTTGGGCTTCA